ATATATCTATCTATCTATCTATCTGTCTATCTATCTATCTATCTATCTATCTATCTATCTATCTATCTATCTATCTATCTACTCGCTCGGAAACAGGTAGAGGCACACTTTAATATCCAATGATAGCCGACGTCCGTCAAAGTGTATGGTTTGCATATCAAGATTATTCTTTTCACTTGAGTGTATTGTGGTGGCTTTTTGCAGTGGTCTATTTTTAAAATCTGCACAAACCTGTGGAAAATAGAATGATTAGTTTGCCAATCCCTTTTGAATTGTTGTACAAACAGTATAGAATACTTACTCAGTTTCCAACAAATAGCTCCGAAAATGGAATTCAATAATACAGGACACATCGAAGGCAAAGGAACAATACAATGGTAAATAAAACGCCGAACAAAGCCATGCTAATCACGGCTTTAGTTAAGTATAGGTACGGAAAGGCAGGCTATTTATTACCTTATGGTACTGTGAGGTTCTCGACTCTTTCGTTTTATCACTTTAAGTCTATTTATGAGACGACGTGTGCTCCAGATTGAACGTCCATCTCCGATATGAGAGAGCCAGATAGATGGAGAGCCTTGAAAACTCGTCAGATTTCTTGAGGAACAATTTGGAGGTTCAAACCAGCTAACGGTGCTCCCCGCGTGTTGAGACATCTGTAAGGCACCTTTATAGACAGGAAAAATACTGAGGATCACTGTCTTTTTGTCACTTATAAACATGGGCTTCTGCAATTTTTTCCTTGTGAAACTGTTTAAATTATGTCCCTAGCACGAGACTATGGCAGTCTCTGATTTAAAGAAAGTAAAGGAATTGATGGACAAAATATACAGGTAAAAAACTTAAAATTGTGATATGTGCCTTTCTCTTCCTGTAATCCTCGGTTGTCAAAGGCCTTCTCTACTTTAAAAAAGTGGATATTTTGTTGTCTTCCCTGTCATTCTTTGCCTTTTGAATTGTATTTACGATAACAGTAAGGAACCAGCTAATCATGGTAGAAAATAGGTTAAAAACTGAATGATAAGGAACAAATTAATATGAAGTGTTATCTATATTTTACTCTCTTCCTTTTCATCGTAGGTGGAAACAGTATTTCCCCTAGTCAGCATTATGAAGTCTTTTCTTATTTTGTTCAACAGCAACAGGACGGCTGGAACGCACTACCAAATAATCTAAGAGACATCAAATCTTCTTACCTGTTCAAGAGTCAGCTCAGCTCATTTCTGTTTTTGTTTTTTGTTTTTAGATGAAAGATATTGTATATCTAGACTTTTATTTAGAACGCAGTGTATTGCATATTTGTTGTTACTTGTATTTGCAAAGCGGTCAGAAATTGACATTGTGTTCCTTTTTCAGGTTAAGCGCTATTTAAATGCCATAATTATGTTGTTGTTGTTGTTGGTGGTGGTGTTGTTTTTGTTTATTATGATTATTATTATTATTATTATGAACACAGACAATTTGGGCCAGTGACCGCTACCCAGTTTTTTTCAACGTTGCCCAATCGTACCAAAAAGGATTTTAAAGTGTCAATGTGGTCGTCTTTTATAACTCCCTTTTTCATTTTTTTTTCTGTCAGCCTTGCCTTTTGTCTGAGATTTTAATGTCATGCGTGTCTTTGTGTTCTGTCTGTTTCTTCTTGCATTCATGCCACTGCGGCCACAAACCTCGCTCGTCTGGTAATTCTGGAATTAAAGAGGGCGACTTGCAGCCGTCTTTAATTCTAGCCATGCCACAACTTTCAAGCCGTGTGATTCATTCGGCCCGCCAGAAAAGCAGACGATCTCTGGAGAGATTCATTTGGCAGCAGCTGGAGTCTTTAACAATCGTAGCGGCAGTTTCCCCACCAGTGTTCGCCCCTGGTTGCACGTTCGCAGTGGCGGTGGGTGGACCAAAATGTGGGTGGGTCTAGGGATGCTTCCACTTTTTTACCACCAAATAAAAAGCAATAAGAACTAAACAGTGATTAGTTTTCTATACTCGCGGTGAGCCACGGCATTTTTTCCATCTCTTTGTTGTAAGTTAATTTCTTCTTGATGGTGATGACGACGCCGCTTCACCTCCAAATTTCCTCTAATTAATTTTCATCTGATGAAAAAGTTGCCTTAAAAGTAGTTTGACGTGATTTATAACTGTTAAATCTCAGCCGCACAAGAACAAACATGCACACACAGCACTTCAAACATATTCCAACTATAAGCTGGAATAAGCTGTGGAGTTGCGGAAAGTAGAAGGCACCTAACAAAGGTGTAATGAGCACATAGGTGTCACTGGGGGAAAGTGTATCGTAAACTTCCGTCCCATTGTCAGGGCTGGAAGAGCGTGAGCCCCCAGTACAGTGGTGGGGGGGGGGGGTTCAAGTCTTTTACCTTTTTATAAGAAGAATTTCCATAAGGAAGGGCCATGGGAATGGGTTCATTCTTTTTTTTAGCCCTGAGGACACTTGATTGACTGCTTACCTGACTTACTATACTTTTAAGCTGCGATAACAGTACTTACCTATCAAACGAGCCGTCAAGTTGATCCCCCAGTTTTTATTGCGTGCTATCATTACGGTTTCAACTACTTATTTCGTTATTTAAGAAACTTTAATTAACTTTAGGATAGAGTTGGGTAGGGGAGGGGGGCTCAAGTCCCTGAGCCCTTCACTACTCACCGCCACTGCTCGTTCGATTACACGTCTTTGGCTTGACTGATGAACATTCCCCTCTGGTGGGACGCTTTGAAGATAAACGCGCTTTTCATTCGAGGTTCTCCACATCCCCGATGCCGCTCTTGAACCTTGTTGGTTTTTTTCTCCGAGTAGACTCTATGCCTGTGTCCATCGACAGTAGCTTTAATTTCCTTTTACTTTTTTCCTTCTGTTTTCTTTTCTTTTTTTTCTTTTTTGTTTGTTTGTTTGTTTGTTTGTTTTGTTGTCTATATGTTTAATAGCTGTGTTTTTGTATCTTTTTCTCGTGTTGACTGTTTTATTTTTGTTTTGCTCTTTCTCCCCCCCCCCAGTCAGAGAACCAATTCTCTCTCTCTCTCTCTCTCTCTCTCTCTCTCTCTCTCTCTCTCTCTCTCTCTCTCTCTCTCTCTCTCGCTTTGCTTCTTTTTTTCCCTTTTTCTGTGTTTCTTCCTTTCTTTGCCTTAAATCATCCCTTTTCTTTCCTTTCCCTCATACTTTGTGAATGCCCTCTGTCTCTGTCTTTTTCTCTGTCTCCATCTCTATCGCCCTCCCTTTTCCTCTCTCTCTCTCTCTCTCTCTCTCTCTCTCTCTCTCTCTCTCTCTCTCTCTATCTATCTATCTATCTTTTACTCACTTACTCATTTACACATACACATACACACATACACACACAAACACAAACTCGCATTCACACATTCACACAAACACACACACGCACTCACATACACACACTCATACACTTTCACACTTACACACACACATACACACACACACATACACACACACATACACACACACTTTCACACACACACACACACACACACACACACACTCACACATTCACACATACATGCACCCCTACCCTCTCCCCACACACAATCCACTCCACTTGGACGTGGGCTTTGTTTCATAAGTACCACTTTAACTTGTCTCCCTTTCCTCTCACCTCCAGCGTAAGAACGGCACGAAACCGGAAGTCTTGATGGTGGCAGGAGGTGGCGGTGGTCTCCCCTCACACTTGACCAATGACCTCAAAGCCTCTCTAGCGCGCAATTATTTCGGAGAGACTACGGTTGCCACGGTTACCAGCGCCATATCAGGTATTCATGTCTGTTTTCCTTAGAGCGTATTTGTTGTCTGACCCAGACAGTCGGAACTTAAATCTTGACATTTGTTAGGAGATAATACCCCCAAGTATTTTTAAAGGAATAATTAACTACATTGCACTCTTTCTCGAGACTAATCAACCCAGGGTCTAGGTCACTTGGAAATGAATATGAAGCTTCACCCTATCCACAAAACTCACAGTTTTAAAAAGTTACAAAATTGTTGAGATTTAAGAACGTTCTATTCAGTTTGGCAAACCACACCACACTGAATTTGACATGAGTGTTTGCATTTCTGTTTAACTGTGAATGTTTTTAAGTTCCAAGTCAAAGTTCGACTGTTTACCCGGCAATAGTGTTATTTTCTCTGTCTCATAACGACAATCACTATAATTTGGGTACCCTGTCTATTTCTTTTATGAAGTACTTGAAAGCTGAACTTGCGTTCCTGATTCAAATTAGTGCAAACCACATTGATTTTCTAAACTTTTGCTGTTTTGAAACTCCTTAAAGTTTTGGTCCCCCCCCCCC